ATAAGAGTCTGACCTGGGGTTTTCTCTCTGATTGAAACCGTGTAAGATCAAGATCTAACTCTGTCCTTACCAGAGGCTGTAGCAATTTAATTACATTGATACAACATCCCATCTGTTCCTGGAGATGTTAAATCAGTTCACATAATTTGTGGAAGCCAGGCTTCGGGAGCAGGAAAAGAGGAATAGCTGCTGTTCAAGCACAGACAAGTGGGAGAGCCCAGATGTTGCATGTAGGAGGAGAGGGACTGAGCAAGTGGAGGAGAGGACCAGCCAAATTGTTTGTGGTGGTGGAGAAGAGTTTGAAAACAAGGCTGCCAGTCAAGCCTCAGTGGATTAGGGGTGTCCTTTCATCTTGGCTTGTGGAGAACCCAAACAGGGGGACACGGTCATGGGCAAGGATGCTGCAGGTCCCACACCTCACCTGCGGAAAGCCGAGGCTGGAGCATTTAAAAAGAAGGAACAAGCAGGCTCCAGGAGGGGATGGGTCGTGTCCCGGGCTGCCTGTGCATCCCCCCTCTACCTCCAACACACGACCCCAGCATCTGCCTCTCAGACCGAGCAGCCTTGAAGGCGTCTCTGTTGCACGAGCTCAGCGTCGCTGCCCCCCTGCCCCGCATCCCCGGGCGGGCAGCGGGACGCGCTGCCCATGAGCTCACAGGCAGGGCACAGGCAGTTGTTGTACGCCCGGAGGGACACTCTAAGTGCTGCCATTGATGTGTGGGTGCCACGGGCCAAGGGTCGGTGCAGAGACGTGCCAGCTTGTGCAGGCTGCCCGGGGATTGTGGATTGTGCAGCTTAACCCCGGGGCTGACAGCAGCGTGGGAGACCTCAGAGCAGAAAGCTGCTGGAAGGCTGCCCTGCCAACCACCCTGGAGCAATCCAGGAGGGAAAAGCTCAGGGAAACCTGTCTGAGATGCTTGAGGATTGGGATTTTTTTTTTTTTTGGCAAGGTGTCGGTGTTGCTGTAGGGGCTTGGGCAGCAGTGCATGACCAGATGAGGAAGGAGCCCTGCCAGGCAGCACTGCTGGGGTCTGGGTTTCTTTGGTTCCCACACCCTCGGGCTGCGTTTCAGCATCTTCAGGCACATGGGGCAGAGGCCAGTGCTGGGGCTCTGCTCACCCTGGCCCAGTCACAGGTCACTGGCAGCCCATCCTGAATCCAACCCTTAAAAGGCCCTGGGCAAGCTGCTCAGAGGAAGGAAGAAACTTTATTTCAGGGAAGAGATGAAAAATCCAAACAAAGCAAAACAAGCCCAGAGCAGCTGTGGTGAAAATGGACATCTGCAGCCGTGGGGCGTGAGGAGCCGGGGCCAAGAACGGGACAGGATATTAGTGCTGGCACTGCAGAGGGGAAGTGTTTGGAGGCAGCACAAAGAACATGAAACATTTCTAGTTTTTACAGGATCAAAGCTGGAATACCTGCTTTGCACCCTCCCAAAACACCCCGCTCCCCCGTGGGGCTCTCCTGGGCGGGGTTGGCCACCCTGCTGTTGGGTCTTCAAGGTTTTCGGTGTTCATTTGCTGTCCTGGAGCCTCAAAATAGTGTCAAATATAATTCTCCTGATTGGAAAAACTGCTCCATGCTGTGCCTAGTATTGGCTGTGTAGCGGTGGGAGTGAGCTCTGGTGGTCACCGCAGCCTGGGGGCGATGGTCCCAGTGTCCCAGTGGAGCCCTCCCCAGCTCCACCAGGACCAGCTATGGGGATGCACACCTGGCAGCCTCCCCCCTCCCCACATTCCAGGAATAACAGGAGGGAGCCCATGGGGGAATCCTGGTGGCCTTTGAGTACCAGGGCAGAGGTGACCATGGTTCCACAAGTGACATCTGCATCACTGCTGGAAAGATGTTGGCACTCCCCAGGACGTCTCACTGGTTTTAGGGTTTTTTTGTTTGTTGTTATTTTGTGGTTTGTTTGGGGGTTTTTTATGTAAACTGGTAACCATTTTTTTCACAACAGTGCAAGTAAATACCAAAGTCAGCCCATTGAAACAGATTTTCTACATGGGAAATTTTGAAGAGCTTAAGGCAAGATTTGCTGATCTCTAGCTTCAATTTAGCATTGAAAAGATACCAGATCTTCAGGTACTGATTGGCTTAACAAAATTGATGTGGGAATTTTTTTTTTAAATTTTTTGGTTTTAGTCTTTCATTTAAAAGATTTACATTACTATGGAAACTGATACTAAGACACATTTGTCTCTTTAAAAATCCAGTAGTTCCTGTTTGATTTTTAAATGTGAAGGCACACAATAAAGCTTTATGCATTTATTAAAATATACAGATTTTGGTAAATTTAGATATTTTTTTTCTTGGAATCTTGATTATATATATATATGTATTTATATGTATAGTTGTCAACTACACAATCTTTTGAAAATAAAACTCACTCCATAACATATCTGCATATTTTTTCTTTCTCATGACACACCACAAGACCCCATTGTACAATGCACCAATGGGCTTTTGGAAACCACAAAAAAAAAATAATGATTTAATAAAACAAACTTTTTTTTTTTTTTTTTTTAAACAAATACACCAATTTCATACCAGAACTGCAGAGAACTGATACACCAGAAAGGACCATCTGCAAAAAAAGAACTAAAAAAAAAAAAAAGGAAAGAAGCAAGATACACATCAGAAAGACTGAACAAAACAAAGGGAAGGTCATTTACAAGCTGGATTTACAATGTCCTGTGTTGTTTGGGGTGTGATTTCTCTGCCGTGTGGGGGGTGCTGACGGGCTGGGCCTCATACCATGTGGTCAGAACCATGTGGAGGGAATTTGTGGAGGGGCTGAGATCTTACCAAGTCAGTTGGGAAGATCTGAGGTATCGATGCTCTTTCCATGTCATGCGTTGGGCCCCCCTGGTGTGGAGGGTCAGGCAGGGAGGGCTGTGTGCCTCTCACAGGGGCTGG